GCTGTGTGACTTTGTCCCAGTCACTGCATCCTGGATATTTAAGGATGCTTTGTAAAGACTGGAGTTCTTAAAGGACTCTGGGGAGGTGGTCTTCCCATTTCAGGAAATGGCACTGCCATTCACCTAGAAGCTCAGGTGACAAACCGGGGAGTCATTTTTTTAATTTCTTTTCCTCAGTTCCCACATCTAACCCATTAGCTAACCCTGATGATTTTCCTTCCAAAACATATCCCAAATCTCTCCACTTCTCATTGGCTCCATAGATTACTACCCTAAGACACCACCTTTCACTTGGATTACCCAGAGTTTTGGATTCAATAGTTCTGGGTTAGGGCCTGAGAACTTGCATCTCTTTTCTTTCTCTTAAAGCCAGCATTTTATTTGCTTTTTTCTGTTTGTTTTTGGTGGGGAGAAGGTAACCAGGTTTAATTTATTTTTAGAGGAGGTACTGGCAATTGAACCCAGGACCTCGGCATACTAGACATGCGCTCTACTACTTGAGCCATACCCTCCTCCCCACCCCAGGCCTGGAGAACTTGCATTTCTAACAAGTTCCCAGGTGATGCGGATTTTGCTGGCCAGGAGATCACTCTTTGAGAAACATTGCTTTAGAGCAGTGCTTAACATGGGTGCACATTACAATCACCCAGCAGCTTTCAAATACTACTGTACTTGGGACTGACCTCTAGAGATTCTGATTCATTTGGTCTGGCCATTTGTAATTTTTAAATCTCCCTAGTGTTACCTGAAAACTGGGTTCACCTGTTGTTGGGTGTCGAGCCAAAAGCACAACAAAGCCAAAGAGCAGGAGAAGGATCTGTTACTTGTAGCAAGTAAGGAGAACGCTGGGGATCTTTCCCAACGCAGTGTCTCCATGAACAGCAAAACTGGGGAATTTTAAGCTAAGGGTACATGCATATTCATGAAGGGGCGTGGGCGGTCAACAGAGTCCAAGCTTTAGCTGACTGCTGTCAGGAGCGTCAGAAAAGGTCAGTATCATCATCCTTTAGGTTCCAGTTGATCTGGTGGTTGAAGCTTCAGACTAATTTTTACCATTGAAACAGGACTGGGAGTCTTGACAACTGATATATTATCTTTGCTATTGTTACTTCTCCTGCCTGATCACAGTCTTTTGTTTCTGTATTCTTTTGTTCCCTTAAGATCATTAATTACTGAGTCTTGTTAAAAGGCAAGAATTGTAGCCAGGCTTAGATCACAGAATGGCTTACGCCAAAAATGCATTCTCTTCTGTCTAGAAAGCCGTGCCTGGTTTTTTTCTCTGGGGACTCCAAATCTTATCTGCTTATACTAGGAGATTCGAAATGTTCATCTAGGGTTGAGAAACACTACCAAGGCTTAAATGAGTGACTAAGTTTGTTTGTTTCCTGTGGCTTTGTAAGCAGATCAACTGGAACCTAAGGGAGCAACGATGTTAACCTTTTCCAACCCTCCTGACTTCAATAAACTAGAGCTTTGACTCTAATGACCTCCCAAGCCCAAGCCCCTTCATGAATATGCATGTACCCTTAGCTTAAAACTTCCTCAATTTTGCCGTTGGGAAGATGCTGCTTCGGGGAAAATCTCCAGTGTGCGCCTTACTTGCTGCAAGTAATAAATCCTTCCTTCTCCTACTCTCTGGCTTGGTTGTGAATTTTGACACCCACCAAGAAGTGAACTCATTTTTCAGGTAACAGTTTAGCTGCTCCCATTACCTGGTACACTCTTCCTCTAGGTCCTTCCATGGTTGGATCCTTTTTGTCATTATTCAGGTCTCTGGCTAAATGTCACTTCCTCCAGTAGATTTTTCCTGATTCCCTCAACCTAAAGTAACACCCCTATCTTTACCACATTGTCCTGCTTGTTCTCATTCTAGGAATTGGCAGTTTGTGAGATTCCCCTATTTACGCTTACTGCCTGTATCTTCCAACTATGACATAAATGTGTTGAGCATAAACGTCTTTGGTTTATTCACTGCTGTGTCCCCAGCACTTAGGACAGTGCCTGGCATCTATTAGGAATTCAATATATGTGAATGAAAGAGAAGATACAAAGCTTTAAAATGAATTCTTCCAGTTCTGTATTCAACTGTTCAGCTGGGTTTTAATAAAATGTGTTTTATTTATGCAATAGAATTGAATCATCTATGAAAAAAAGTATCAGTGGATTTTTCGGTAAATGTAATTGCACTAGAGTCACTCTTTTCATAGGAACCCTGTATTAAATCTTCTGCAAAGTCATTATCCCTTAATGTATTTTGATATACAGTATTTGTTCATAATACTGCTGCTTAGGGAATACAGCTCACAGAATGGAGCAGCTGGGTATGACCAGGATCTATTTATTTCATCAAGGGATTGTTGCTCAGATTTGGTTTGCTTACTTTTGGAGACAGAGTGTTAGCAAAAACTGGGTTTGCTTCTTGGTGGGAGTCGAGCCAAAATTAACAACCAAGCCAAAGATAGGGAAAAGGAAGGATTTATTACTTGCAGCAAGTAAGTAGAACATTGGGGATCTTTCCCAAAGCACTGTCTCCATGAACAGCAAAACTGGGGAAGTTTTAAGCTAAGGGAACATGCATATTCATGAAGGGGCTTAGGTGGTCAGCAGAGTCCAAGCGTTAGTTGAGTGACATCAAGAGGGTCAGAAAAGGTCACCATCATCCTCCTTTCGGTTGATCTGGTGGTTGAGCCCCCAAAAGGGGTTTAAATTTTGCAAAACAGCTCAAGAAAGTGCTTCAGGCTAAACAGAATTGGGAGTTTACCACTGATTTATTATCTTTGCTATTGTTATTTTTCCTGCTTGACAAGAGTCTTTTGTTCTCTTAAGATTATTATTACTGAAACCTGTTCAGGGGCAAGGGCTGTGGACAGGCTTAGATCACAAAATGGTTTAGAACAACAACAAAAAGACTTCTGTTATGCCAAGAAACATTTCTTCAAGATCCTCTACCTTATTTGCTTCCAAGATGGCAGGAGAAAGAAATTAGAAGAGCGACAGGAAAACATGAAGATTATACCTGATTCCTTCTAAAAGTCGGCTACAGTTATCCTCTTTTCTTCTGGGGGCACCTCTTTAACGAATGAATGTAATCTGAATTGAAGAGTCTTAACTTCAGAGTACTTGAGATAATTAAAGCGTCTTGTGTCACAGGGGTCTGTTCAAGCCATTGTGGCTAAGTCTTCAGCTGTGGGCCATGTCACTTGGTCTCAGGGAAGCAGCTGGATTGAATTTACGACTCAGGCAAATTAAGGGCAAAGCAGATGTCCTTAAGTCCCTCACGGTCCATTTCAGAAATACATTATCTACGAAAACATAGAAGAACATCTGTCACGGGGAAAAAAGGGAGTTTCCATGCCTCTGGGTCCTCTCTTTGGCAGGGACGTTGGTATTTCCTCAAAAGTCCCAAGTATCCAACCTTCGCCCCCAGCAAAGAGGCTAGGTTCACATGTAACCAGTTTTTCAGGCAGCTGCCTCCCCTTTCTTCCCTCTTTGTGCTTCGCCAGTCATGGCTTTAAACAAAACGACTTTGTGCGTGGAGTAATGGTTGAACTCACTCTGGCGCTTTGGCACAGCGCAGGAGGGGCAGCCAAGAGCACGGGTTCCGAGAACACAAACCCCTAGTCGGTAGACGGAGGTTGTGGCTCGAGAAAACCAAAGGCAGAGTGGCGAGTGGGAGGGAGAAGCAAAGCAGCTGAGTCGGCGGTGCATTCTGGGAGTTGGAGTCCTTTTGGGGCGGCCTCCTCAGGGCTCCACCGGCTGCGCACTTCAACTCCCAGCCGCTCCCGCGCTCCGGAGGCGGCGAGCGGTGGGAGCGCTCGGTGATGAGCTGCCGCAGGGGGAGGGGGTCTGGGGCGGAGAAGCGCCGCGGCTGCCGCCGGGAGACGTTATCTGCGGTCCGTGGAGACCGAGG